AGCAAGGGAATAATATGAATCTTATTCTTACAAAACCTGTATCTAAGATCTAAGTTAAAATATATTGTTCTGGGCTGAATTGTTTTCCTTCAAAATTCATATGTTGAAGCCTTAACATCCAGCACGTCGGAATGTGACTGTATTTGGAGATAGGGTCCTTAAAAAGTTAAAATGAGGCTAAGGTGGGCACCAACCCAGTCTGACTGGTGTCCTTATAAGAAATATAGATTAGGAGATGTAAAGAGACACCAGTGATGCATGCACAGAGGAAGGACCATGTGAGGTCACAGTGAGCAGTGGCCATCTGCAAGCCGATGAGAGAGGCCTCGGAAGAAACCAAACCTGCTGACACCTTGATACTGAACTTCTAGCCTCCATAACTGTGAGAAAATAAATTTCTGTTGTTTCGGTCACTCAGTCTGTGGTATTTTGTTAAGACAGCCCTAGCAGGCTAAGACATCTCCTATCCGACCTTCTACAATTATAGCCCCATGTACAGCTTCACCCTATTATGAATCTTATTCCTAAAATACTTGCGCTAACTTTGCNTTTTTTTTAAAAGAAGGCAGTTGGTAAAGCAAAAAGATTGAAAACACATTAACCCAAATAAAGCAAGGGAATAATATGAATCTTATTCTTACAAAACCTGTATCTACGATCTAAGTTAAAATATATTGTTCTGGGCTGAATTGTTTTCCTTCAAAATTCATATGTTGAAGCCTTAACATCCAGCACGTCGGAATGTGACTGTATTTGGAGATAGGGTCCTTAAAAAGTTAAAATGAGGCTAAGGTGGGCACCAACCCAGTCTGACTGGTTTCCTTATAAGAAATATAGATTAGGAGATGTAAAGAGACACCAGTGATGCATGCACAGAGGAAAGACCATGTGAGGTCACAGTGAGCAGTGGCCATCTGCAAGCTGATGAGAGAGGCCTCGGAAGAAACCAAACCTGCTGACACCTTGATACTGAACTTCTAGCCTCCATAACTGTGAGAAAATAAATTTCTGTTGTTTCGGTCACTCAGTCTGTGGCATTTTGTTAAGACAGCCCTAGCAGGCTAAGACATCTCCTATCCGACCTTCTACAATTATAGCCCCATGTACAGCTTCACCCTATTATGAATCTTATTCCTAAAATACTTGCGCTAACTTTGCAATCAAAAAGGCAATAAAGCTATTTTTCTCTGAAAAAAATATTCTTTGTATTCTTGATAATATGGTTTTTCCTTACCTAATTTCTATAGAATTGAGATTTTTGGTTCTCCTCTTTTTTTTGTTAAGTTTATGCTGTTTCCTACTAAGGAAGAAATAATTTGGGCCAAGATACAGATGCCTAATACCCAAGTGTAACAATCCATACCTTTAATTTTAATAAAAAATAAAACTCCTTTATTTTACTTGAGAAAAATTCTCCCGTTAGTTGTACCTCCCTTTTCACCCCATTGAAAGGTTAGTGACTCACAATATTTGTGCAGATGCCATGGGTGCCCCAGGCCACCTTCCTGTGTGACACCGAACCAGGATGAGTTCTTGCTCAACTCACTACTGCCACTGACACTAAATAAAAATTCAAAGGGCAAAATGAGAAAAAGATTTTCTTTCTGTTTTCCAAAAAACACTGGCAAAGTTCATTCCAGTATTAATTTGCCTTATCAATTTCTTTTCTTTTCTTTTTTAAGTAGTCTTTTATTTTTATTTTACAGGAAAATCAAGCAGAAAGTACAGAGAGTTCCCACACCCCTGTCCCTCCATATGCACAGCCTCCCCCACTATCAGCATTCCACACCACAGTGGTACATTTGTTACAACTGATGAACCTACATCTACATATAGTCTCCCAAAGTCCATAGTTTACAGTAAGGTTCAAGCATTGTACATTCTATCGTTTTGGACAAATATTTAATGATATGTATCTACCATTAAAGTATCGTACAGAATAGTTTCACTGCCCTAAAAATTCTATTATGTTCTGCCTTTTCATCCCTTCCTCCCCCCTAATTCCTGGCAACCACTGACCTTTTTACTCTTTATTGTTTTGCCTTTTCTAGACTATCATATATTTGGATTCATACTATATATATAGCCTTTCCTGATTGGCTTTAGTTAGAAATATACATTGAAGATCCTCCATGTCTTTTCATGGCTTGATAGAACATTTCGTTTTTCTTTTTTTTTTTTTATTTCATTTTGTAGATATACAATGTGGTTGATTATAGTGGCCCATCACCGAAACCCCCCTCCCTCCTCCCTCTCCCCCTTCCCACCCAACAGTGTCCTTTCTGTTTGCTTGTTGTATCAACTTCAAGGAGTTGTAGTTGTTAACTCTTCTTCCCCCCCCTCCCGGATTTTGTGTGTATGTGTGTGAATTTATTTATTTATTTTTATCTCCCACCAATAAGTGAGAACATGTGGTATTTCTCTTTCTGTGCCTGACTTGTTTCACTTAATATAATTCTCTCAAGGTCCATCCACGTTGTTGCAAATGGCAGTATTTCATTCTTTTTTATAGCTGAGTCATAGAACATTTCTTTTAGTGCTGAATAATATCCTATTGTCTGGACATACCACAGTTTTATCCATTTACTTACTGTAGGATACTTGGTTACTTCCAACTTTTGTCAAGTATTAATAAGGCTGCTATAAACACCCATGTGCATTTTGTGTGGACATAAGTTTTCCACTCAACCCATTTGGGTAACTATAAAGAAGCATAATGGCTGGATCATATGGTAAGAGTATGTTTAGTTTTGTTAAGAAACTGCCAAACTGTCTTCCAGAGTAGGTGTACCATTTTGCATTCCACCAGCAGTGAATTCCTGCTGTTCCACATCCACATCAGCATTTAGTGTTGTCAGTGTTTTGAGTTTTGGCCATTCTAATAAGTGTGTAGTGACATCTCATTGCAGTTTTAATTTGCAGTTCTTTAATGATATATGATATTGAGCATCTTTTCATATGCTTATTTGCCATCTGTATATCTGCTTTGGTTAAGTGCCTATTCAGGTCTTCTGCCCATTTTTTAATAGAGTTTTTTTTTTTTTTTTTTCGAATTTTGTATTTCAGAATATATTTTTGAATTTGTGTATTTTAGATAACAAAACTTCATCAAATATGTCTTTTGCAGATATTTTCTTCCAGGCTGTCTCATTTTCTCATTCTCTTTACCTTTTTTTATTAAAATTTTTTTGTTTGAAATTTAAATTTTTGAATGGTAATTCAAAATTAGATATACAGGTACATTAGATGTACATGGTAAAAAAATGAAATCAAACAGCACAAAATAGTACACTGTGAAAAATAAATTTCTTTGTACCCCCATCCTGCACTTCCTATGTTCTGCTCTCCAGGGGCAACCATTATTACAATTTCATTTCTGGAGATGTTTTATGCATATACAAGTGTGAACTCAGGTTGGCAGGATGATAGTTTTCCTTAGATAAGTAATACTAGCTAACATTATTAAGGGCTTACTACATGCTAGGCAATATCATAAAACACTTTTATAGGTTCTGTCATTTAATCCTCACAAGAATACTACAAGATGGTTCTATCATTATCTCCATTTTACTGGAGAGGAAACTGAGGTTCAGATGTTAAGAGACTTGCTGTGAGATTACGCACTTCCATCTCTGTCTCCCCTAAAGTCAAGTCCCACCAGTGACCCTCATCTAATCTGTTTCTAGAGCCAAGGAATGTCATTGACCTTTTGCTTTTTCCCCTTTCCTATGTTGTTAGTTAAAAGCTCTAGTCTCCACTTCTCTTGGGACGTTCCTTTTTCTTTTGATTCTGAAGAACCTCCTTGGAGGTCAGGAGAACTGTCTAGGAAGACAGAATTGTCTATGCAGAGATCCTGCAGTTAAAAAGAGTTTAGAGGTTTTGAGGAAGTGAAGAAAGCCCATGTTTTTGGAACAAGGGGAAAAGTGTCACAGAGTGAGATTGGAGGGAGAAGCAGGAGAAATATTGGGTTATGCAGGATTTTGTAGGCCATGTTAAATTTTGCTATTCTAAGTGGGAAAGAAAGCCTTGTTGAGGCTGTACCACCTACCACTCATGCAATAGCGTCCCTGTGGCTCTGTACTTTTGATGAATTTGCAGAATCTTGACATTATTTTACAAACTGGATGTTCAGCAGGAGAGAATTGATGAAATAAATCATGGCACATACTCCTACCTCCCACTATCATGTAGCCTTCTAAATGTTCTCAGAAATATACAAAACTACGGACATAGGAATATGGTCATAAGATTATATTAAATGTTGGAGCAAGCTAAGGACTTGTGTTACTAAGTAAATTTAGTTATACATACATAGGAGACAGGCTGAAGGGAAACACACCAATACTCATACATTAACTGTAGTTATTTCAATAGGAGTGATTGGGCTTTCAGGTGATCTCCATTCTTTCCTTCAAACCTGCCAAATTCTACAATATTTAAAAATAAGAAGAAATAAATAGAAACATAATAAATATAAAATAAATAGAATTAAAAGTGAACATACAAATATTAAATAGAAATAAATGTTTCTACAGTATTTATTTTGAATCCTTATACCGTGCCATTTAAATAAAAAGACCTCAGAGCAATAAAACATAGTTATTGGGCCAGTGCCTCAGTCCATGCAGTTCAATACTACGGAGAGCAAAAAAAAAAAAAGCCTGTCAGGTTTTTTCAATATTACGTGATCCTGGTTTTTTTCTTCCCAGGTAACAAGCCTCAGACTCCCGGAGAAATAGCTTTCTGGGCGGAGCCCTGACAGCTTAGCTTCCTCCCATTGGTTCTTCCTGGAGACTCCGCCCTTCTGTCCCCGCCTCCTGGGCGGACGAGCCAATTGGGTCGCGAGTTGTGGTTTAAACTGTGAGTCTGCGGAGTCCGCTCGCTGCGGAGCGCTGGTTGGGTCTGGCTGTTGAGAGCAACGCGAGTGAGCGGTAGGGTCGCGCGTTTGGTTAGGCGGGGAAGGAGGCGGTTTGGGCTCGGGCTCTCCCGGGGCGTCCACAGCCTCGAGCCGGGTGGACCTGCAGCCTCAGTCTGCCTTCTGGACCCACGACGCTTCTCTTCTGGTGGGGGCCGGCCCCAAACCCCTTGCTGCTCAGGTCCTTTGAGCCTATGCAGAGACTCAGGCCTGAAGACTTAAGACTGGATTAGGTGCTTGTTGGCTCAAAAACGGGCTTCTCCCTCTGCTTAGCTCTTGTTTCTGTGTGGGCTTCCCCAGGTTAGAAAGTTTGTACTGTTTCTATACCTTAGCCTCTCTTGCCTTCCCTAATCCTCAGTATCTATCTACTATGTGTTTCTCCCTCCTAGAGTAATCCAGAATGGCTACTCTGATCTTTGTTGATAAGGAAAACGGAGAACCAGGCACCCGCGTGGCTCCTAAGGATGGGCTGAAGCTGGGGTCTGGGCTGAAGCTGGGGTCTGGGCCTTGTAAGTATAACAGTGCTACAATCAGATACACAGGGATTGTGAATGAATTGGGAAGGTGGCCTGCAGCCGGGCGAGGTGTTTACTGTACTTCGGAGTCAATTGGAGTCAAGTTTGTTATCGGTCCCTTATCATGTTCAATATCTTAATGAGATAATTAAGAGAGTACTGAACTTCAGTGCTATTAGAAATATCATGGCTGTGCCACTGCCAAAAATGTGGGTTGGGTTTGGGGATGAAAATTAGGTCAAGTTTATATACACAATCAGCATACAACTTGCACAGGTGTTTACTGTCTGAATATTCTTATGATAAAACTTTTTCTTCAGCAGTCAAAGCCTTAGATGGGAAATCTCAGGTTTCAACGCCACGTGTTGGCAAAATGTTCGATGCTCCACCAGCCTTACCTAAAACTGCTAGAAAGGCTTTGGGAACTGTCAACAGAGCTACAGAAAAGTCGGTAAAGACTAATCGACCACTCAAACTAAAACAGCCAACCGTCTCTGCCAAAAACGTAAGTGTTGACTATAAAGACGCTGTTTAAACACTTCAGCACTCTTGTCTTTTAAAATGACGATTGGCATCCTACCTGGCTTTCTTTCCTCTGAATAGAAGGGGAATATAGGGCAGCAAACAATAGCAGAGGAGAAACATATTGTCCTTGGACTTTTCTGTACCTCGCGGTTGGAAGTCTCAGATGCAGCGAATGCATATTTTTGCCTCACCTGTTCTTAACTGATGCCTTAAAACAGATTGATTGGTGCTATCTACTTTCAGACAGGTAAAGTACTAAGAGAAGAGAGTACCATGCAAGAAAGAGGTCAGTTGCTGTTATAATAACTCAGGTGCTGTCATCCTTTTTCCTGCTTCCCAGAGTAAGCACTAGATTGTTAGATGACAATTTGCTACCGTGTTGATCCTTGTGTGAGTGTGGGTTGTGAGGTGCAGGTCAATGTATCCCAAACCGAGAGGATTTTGTTGTGAAAGATGAATTTAGCATGTGGATTAACACTTTATTTGAATTAGGGCCGGCCTGTGGCTCACTTGGGAGAGCGTGGTGCTGACAACACCAAGTCAAGGGTTAAGATCCCGTTACCGGTCATTTTTTTTTTTTTTTTTTTTTAAAAACACTATTTGAATAATCATTTTGTTTAATGTGTATTAGGAAACAAAAACGAGTACTTTATATCAAACCTGTAGCTTAAATGTCGTGCAACTTAGGTCTCTTTAAAAAGGTGAGTTGAAGGGCCAGCCTGTGGCTCACTCAGGAGAGTGTGGTGCTGATAACACCAAGGCCACGGGTTCGGATCCCTATATAGGGATGGCCGGTTAGTTCATCGGGAGAGCGTGGTGCTGGCAACACCAAGTCAAGGGTTACGATCCCCTTACTGGTCATCTTTAAAAAAAAAAAAAAAAAAAAAAAAAAAAAAAAAAAAAAAAAAAAAAAAAAAAAAAAAAAAAAAAAAAAAAAAAAAACAGTGAGTTGACTTGAAAAATGTTTGGTACAGGTATTGCAAAGACTCGGCAAAAATAACGAGAATGTTACACAGCACTGAAGTGTCGGAAACCCTGCAATAGGGATTTCCTCTAGGTATTCACATGTGAGGTAAGAAAAATCAAGAATATGCAGGCTTCCATTTTGGCCTAAGACTGTAGTAGACTGTCTACCTGCCAGACTAGGGAATTATCCATGGTGTTCTTCTAAAGCCCTTGACTGTCTTTTGCTACCTCTTACTCAATGTGTGTATTTGGGGAACACAAGCTTGTTTTTAATATTAACCAAGCAAATCATTAAGGTAGCATTGATAGAAAATCACACTTCTGTAAACCTAAAATGGCTTCTAGAATTAGCTACTATTCTGGGTGATTTCTCCTCTGTTAGGTTGAATAATTGAGTTGATTAGGCCTGAATTAACTCTGCATTCTTGATAACTTATGCTGACAGGTGCTAATACTTAAATTTCAGATTTTTTGAGCCATGCTACTAGAATTGTATTTGAGTAATATTTGAATTATACTTGGGTATAATCATGAGAACTAAGGATTATGGCTTCTTAGAAGGCAGCATGAAATTGACAAATTTTAAAACAAGGTGAAGCAGTCCTATGTTTGGAAGAGTCCCTATAATCTATTGTACTAATCAACTGGCAAGGCTTCCACACTCACTAATCCATATTTTCTTGGTTCTAGATGACTGAGAAGACTTTTAAAGCAAAAAGCTCTGTTCCTGCCTCAGATGACACCTATCCAGAAATCGAAAAATTCTTTCCCTTCAATCCTCTAGGTAGTATTTTTTGGTATTGCAAAAGATGCTATTGGCCTTTAGGTTTTCTTATAACTCAACTCAGCTGTAACTTGATGTAAATATGATATATGATACAGAACTATAAAGAGACTGTATGAATTGGGGTTGCTTTGAACAAATATCCTTGTTGGTGGAATTATTTGCAAGGTATCATCTTAGGTCAGGAGGGGGAAATAGGAGCATAGATGTGGAGGATATTGTTCCTGTCCTCAAAAGCTTAGCACCTAGGGGGATGTAAGATGTGTTCACTAACATTGAACAGTCTCAATGTGGACAGTCTCTCTAGCAAGGCTTTTAGAAATATGGAGCTCATGTCAAGTTGAGCAATGCCTAAGAGTGCTTTTGTAAGGTTATGTATTTCTTTGGTTAGAAAATGTGTTTTTAAAAATTTTAATTCCTTCAACCTGCTACATGTATCTGAAATATTTTCTGTTGTAGAACCAGCTTTTCAAACTTTAAATCTACTCAAACATTTGAGGGGAGGCTATTGTGTGTCAGGCACTATTAGGCTTTGGATGCAGTGCTTAGCAAGACAGGCCCTGCCCTGAGGGAGCCCATAGTTCGGAGGGAGAGTCAAACACTGACCAAATCATCTCACTATGAAAGTGAGCAAGAAGGAGCTTGTAGATGACAGTGTGTGCAAAGATGCTGAGGTAGGAAAAGGGACCGAAGTGGATCTGGGAAATGAGTGAAGGAAGACACAGGTGAAGAGTCAGGGTAGTTCAGGCAGGGCCTTACAGATTTTTGAGCCATTTTTTTTTCCCTTTTAGCCAAAGGACATTTAGTCATTCTTACACTAATATATAATTAGATTGTTCTGGCTTTTATATGTTAAAAACAAGTCTGCAGTTAGTATTCTTGAAATTGCATTGTTAGTTTGTGAGTACATGGTGGGGGTAAACTTTAAGAAGGATTGCTGAATCAAAGAGTGTGTGATTAAGTTTTGATAAAATGTGGTGCATCCATGCTAGTGGTTACCATTCAGCCATCAAGGAAAATGAGGTAGATTTATATCTATTGACCAGAAGGAGGACCACAGTATGCTGTGTTAGAGGAAAGAGATATTGCCAAGTGGCCCTCCAAAATAAGAGGGTACTTCACAAAGTTCAAGGAAGATCTGCATTATCTTTTAATTCTATTTTTCCACAAATTTTTTAAGTACACGTGTATTTGATTATTGGCCATCTGTAGTTTTTCTTAACTTCCTGTTTGTGTTTCTGTTTTCTGATTATGTGACTTTCTTACTTTTTTTTTTTAAAAGAGCTCTTTGTAGATAAGATTAACCCTGTTATATTGCAGACTTCTTTCCTTGGGGTCTTTTGTCTGTTCATGGTTTTCTTTACAATTCAGTGGTTTTAAATTAAGTCCTCGCGTGTCATTCAGTTCCTTTGACTTCTGGGTTTTAGGAGGCTTGAAAAAGAGCAGACTAATTCCTCAATACTTAGGCTTCATAGAACTTTACACCTAAGGACGAAGATGAGGAGAACCATGATTTTCTAATCTTTTTGAGAAAACACTCAACCTCTTTGAAGAGAGAAACGTAATGTTTAAATTTACTTTTGTTATTGTCAAGAAAAGTCAGTTTTTTAAAATAATTCTTAAGTAGTAAGGCACTTGGATTTTAAGAAGGAATGTTACCTAAAACAGTGATTCTCAATTTTTTTGGTTTCAGGACCCTTGTACACTCCTAGAAATTACTGAAGACCCCAAAGCACTTTTGCTGTGTGTTCTATTTCCTGTATTAGAAATTTATATATACTTCATTAAACAATCCATTACATTAATGTAAATAACTTTTTTCTTCAATAAAATAACTTCCAAAACAGAAAAAAAAAATAGTAAGAAGAATGGTGTCATTTATATTTTAGAAAATTTGCGTAATTTGTTTTTTTTTTCCTTTTTGTCTTTTTTACTGACCGGCAGCGGGATCGCAACCCTCGGTATTGCGCCCGCACCGCGCTCAGCCAGTGAGCGGGAACCGGTCTCCACATGGGATCCGAACCCTCGGTGGGAGCACCGCCGCGCTCCCAAGCGGCGCACTCTCCAGTGCGCCACTGGGCCGGCAAAATTTGCGTAATTTGGCTTAATATAAGACAATCGGATTTTCATCGAATTCTGTAGTCAATCTGTTGTGTCTGTTTTGGTTAAAGTATATGAAAAAAATCTGTCCTCATGCAGATATGTAGTTAGGAAAGGAGGGGCTGGCCGGGTAGTGCACTTGTTTAGAGCATGGTGCTGAAAACATTAGGTTCAAAAGTTTGCATCCCCATGCCAGCCACCCATTAAGAAAAAAATAAAATAGGAAAGGGAAGAGCATTTTAATAGTCTTTTCAGATAAGTGTGGATAAGTATTCTTTGATACTTCACTAAAACCCAAGTGGCTGTTTCTGAACGTATAATTACAATGTGGAATCTGAAACTTTGTCAGTGAGATATGTTCTGATAGTAAAATCCATTGGTCTATTTTGCACTTGGAATGTGTCTTTTACCTTGTCATTTATCACACATTGGTCATTTAAAAATCTTGGTTCACTGAGATATGTAGATAGGCAAATGTTGAAATGTTTTATTATGCAATATCAAAATCACATTAATATGACATTCATTAATATGACTTTTCAAAAGAAAAGTCTAAGTATCTCAAAGGAAAAGTCCTTAAGTATAAGCTAATGCTTGCAAGTTAAAAGTTTTTTAAACTAGTGCCAAGCTAATGATTACAGATCAGTTTTCCAAAATCCCAGTTTTTTTCTTGACATTTTGAATTTCTGTCATTGTCAACAAAGACTGTTGGGTTTCCTTGAAGCGATAATCTTTTCGTTCCTTTGGGAAAATGTGTGACAAATACCCAAGTCTGAGTGACCATAGTTTCTTACAGTTGTTCTCTCAAGCAAAAATGCTATTCTAGGAAAAAAGTCTTCTAGCTTACAACTCAAATTATTGCACAAATCCTTTTTCTTTGAGATGACCGTCATATTTTAGTGTGCAACAGAAGTGCTTTATGGCATACTTCTCATTTTATCACACAGAATATTAAAAAGACATCTCAAGGGTTAAGAACTAGTAAAATTAATACTTTTTACTGCATATGGTAAAGTGACATTAAGTGAAACTGTCTTTTTTTTTCCCGACTACAAGTGAATAGTTATGAAGAATGTAATGACTAATGTAGTTTATTGCAGCTGCCTTGGTTTGTGCTAAGGCACCAGCAATTTTAACCACCACTGCCTTTGTTTTGTCATTGCAAATGTCAGCGTAGAAGGAACAGGTATTAATATTATCATGAAAATAGTTTTGACCTCATGGGCCTTGTGAAAGGGTCTCAGCCCTCCAGGCTCTGCCGATCACACTGAGAACTGCTGCCCTGACAAAACACATTCTCTCTGTGACAGATTTTGAAAGTTTTGATCTGCCCGAAGAGCACCAGATTGCACACCTCCCCTTGAATGGAGTGCCTCTCATGATCCTTGATGAGGACAGAGAACTTGAAAAGCTGTTTCAGCTGGGCCCCCCTTCACCTGTGAAGATGGCCCCTCGGCCATGGGAGTCTAGTAAGTGAACAAGAGCCCTTCTAGAAGGGCTGCAGATGATTTGTCTCATAACACCTCCATTACCTTGGGGACAGGTTTGTGCAGAAGGTCAGCCTTTGAGTAATTTCTGTCCTTCAAACTATAGGGATAAAGTTTCAGAATAATGAAAACTATTCTCGATTAGTGTTGCATCTTAGTCCCAAATGCCATGGTAAAGTTAAGTTATTCTTGAATCTGGACAGTCTTAAGTACCGCAAAAAGAGATTAAATTTAACATATAGCTACTTAGGCTGTGAGTTGAAGTGTATAATAAACTTGTTTGGGATGAGATGTCCAAGTTATGTCCAAAGCTAATATAGGATCAAGAAACTGTGTTTTAGCACAGAATGACTGTAATTCCTCTGCAGAAGGTTTGAGTGAAGGTTTAGTTTGAACTGGTGGCCAAAAGCCATCATTTAGTATGTTTTCTGTTTGTTCTGATGGGATAACTTGTGCTATCTTATGCTATATTAGTGAGACTGTTAGCTCTTAACTTTCATCTCTAAGAGCAATAAAGGTCTATTCTGGGGCCATAGCAATATTCCAAGAAATGTGTGTGAGAGGGTAAGAGTAGGGATTCATTAGACAGGGAAAAACATGAATTTATTAAAAGTGACAGCTGTGTTGACGTGGACAATGACTTGGATTTGCAGAAATCTAATAAGAAATTCCTGTTTTCTAGATCTGTTGCAGTCTCCTTCAAGCATTCTGTCGAGCCTGGATGTTGAATTGCCACCTGTTTGCTATGACATAGATACTTAAATTCCTTAGTACTTTATAGTTTGTGTGTGTTTGTATTAATAAAGCATTTCTTTGAGACTCTTCCTAATACTTTCGTTGGTATTTCTTGGAATTTACTTAAAACAGTATGAAAACTAACAAGTGTTTCACAGACAAGGTACTTTATAGTTTGTGTGTGTTTGTATTAATAAAGCATTTCTTTGAGACTCTTCCTAATACTTTTGTTGGTATTTCTTGGAATTTACTTAAAACAGTATGAAAACTAACAAGTGTTTCACAGACAAGAATTTATAATCTGACAGTAGAAATTTGTCGGATTATAAAAATTTACCTTAAATCCCTTTGGTTTGTTTTAACAGCTTATTTTAGAAGCTGCCACTCTTTTCTCTGCCCCTCAATATGTACTTTATTGCCTTTTTGTGGCCATTAACAAGTGACAGTTATTAGATCTCTTAATGAGAAGAGCCACTGCCAGCTCATTAAGTATCTATTGCTAGGCATTCTTTATTGCTGGTTCTATTTAGTTTTTAATGACTTTAATACTCAGTGTTCAGTAATCAGAATTTGAAAGACTTTAAATCTTCTGAGAACCTCCTTGGGATCTTTAAATAGGTCCTTTGAATATCACTGCAGATAATTTACTGATCATTTAAGATCCACTCTCCATCTACAGGAAATTGTATTTAGTTGTTTACCCTGTGTGGGACATTAAGTGTTTGATAAGCAGTATTGTGTTTACTGTCTATGACACTATTTTTCAGATGAGGACAATGAGGCTCAGAAGTTCACTGATTTGCCCAAGGCTTGGAGAACTAGAAAACGGGGTTGGTGTTCTGACTCCAAATCTGAGACTGGACTCAAAATAGAGATTGCAAATTGTCGCTGGTGGATTTTCTTTTCTGAGGAAGGGAGTAGATGATATTTTTAAGAACTTAATTGTTTCCACTATTTAAAATTCCAACTATTTGCCTATCTGGTTTTGGAGCTTCTCTTGGAAAAGCAGATCTGGCAGTATTTAGGCTTTCTGTCCCACAACCCTACCTTAGATGGCCTTAAAGGGGAACTGAAGTGTTCCTTTACTGTCTCTTCTCAGACCTTGCTTGCTTAACTTTACTTTTTACTCACTTGGGCCATGTATCAGTCAGTTGAATTTGATCCTTGCTTACATATGAAGTTATATGGGAAGGCTTTCCCCTGAAATATCTGTAGCATTAGTAGTCAGGTTAGAATGGGAACCCTTTCTTTGCCATTGTTACTGGAGAAAGATAAGATAGTAGGCATGAAATACAAGGAACACCTACAGCCCCCAAATCTGACTTTAAAACTTTTTACCCTCTTAACCATGAAGGTGCTTCAAAAAGTTCGTGGAAAAATTCATCTTCTCTTTTAATTCTATTTTTCCATAAACTTTTTTGAAGTACTCTTGTGTAATTGAACCAGTCTGAATTCCTGGAATTAGCAGAGAGGCAGACCTTTAAGAGAAGAGACTACTAAGACACTTGGCTTTAGGGGAGATTTTAGGACTAGCATTCTCAGGTATAATAGGGCTATGAAAAGCAACATATAGTTCTGAATGGCTCTCATACTCTACAACCCATACGTAGAAACTTTGGAAGATTGTTTCATGGTGGAGGGAAATGAGGGCTGGGAGCAAGGGGACTAGTCAGTCCCTTACCGAGTAGTCACCCTTAACAAGTCCTCATGTCAGAACTGAGCATGGAGTGATCTGATCTTTTCATCTGCTGTTAATCAGATTGCAGTATCCTTAATGTATGTTGAGACTTTATTTGAGAACTTTAAACAGATGCTCCCCATTAATAAAGATAATTTTTCCATCTTAACTTTTGGGAATTATTGCTGTTTTGTTAACAAACAAAAAACCTGTTGAAATAAGACAGACTTTTCATACCTTCTCCACTTATTTATTTTTTTCTGTATTTTTTATTGAAATATAATTGATTATACATATTTGTGGGGTACGGAGTTGACTATCAGGATTTGTGTACAATATGTGATCAAATAAGGATAGTAGGCATATTCATCATTACAAAACATACTCATTCTTTGTCTATTAGCCAATTTTTTTCTTATCCCCTCTCCCTTTTCCCCCTCTAATAACCACACTTCTGTCCTCTCCTGAAAGTTCAAGATATTACTGTGTTGTTTATTTTTTTATTGAAACATAATTGGTTGTACATATCTGTGATACAGTGAATATCAATACCTGTGTGCAATATATAATGCTAAAATCAAGATAATTAGTATATTCAACATTACACAACCTAATCATATTTTGTGGCCCTTTACCAATTTCTCACTAACCCCCTCTCTCCTCCCCCTTTAACACCTCTGGTGGCCAAAGTTCCATTCTCTCCTTTTGAAATTTCAATGAATTATTGTGATTATATCTTTTTATATATTTTTTAGCTTCCACTTATGAGTAAGGACATGCAGTATTTCTCTTTCTGTGCTGGGCACATTTCACTTAACATGATTTTCTCTAAGTTCATTCATGTTGTTGCAAATGGCAGAATTTCAATCTTTTTTATGGCACAGTAGTATTCCATTGTGTATATATACCACATTTTCCTTATCCAGTCTTCTGCCGATGGACATTTAGCTTGGTTCCAACTCTTGGCTGTTGTAAATAAAGCTGCAATAAACACAGGAGTGCAGGTATTCCTTCAATGCCATGATTTCCATTCCTTTGGGTATGTGCCCAGCAGTGGGATTGCTGGATTGTATGGCAGTTCTATCTGTAGTGGTCTGAGGAACCTGCATACTGTTTTCCACAGTGGCTGTGCTAATTTATAGTCCCACCAACAGTGTAGGACTTCTCCACTTTTTAAACTTCTGCCTTTCTCCCTACCACCCCTGCCTCTCAGGATACTGTACTTTCTCCCTAGTACAGGATGTAGAAGCTAACAGGAGTGCCCTCATCCTGCTGCCATTTGTTCTACAGACCTCCTGCGTCTGGCATCAGAGGTGCCCCTCCAATCACAGGTCAGTCCTCCACAGTGCCCCATATCACCTCCCTCTTCAGCTATCTCCTTCCTCTGTCCTTTTTTTCCCCACTAGGCTCCACTCCATCACCAAAAATCCTTCCTTGTCGATTTCACTCAGGTGTCAGATTGTAAGAGTTCTGTTTTGGCCTCTTTTCTCACTCTACAAACTCTCCCTGTGTGATGTTATCAACTTCTGTGGTTTAAAATACCATGCATGTGCTGATGACTGCACAATTATATCTCTAACTCAGGCCTCTCCCCTGAACAACAAGACTCCTATCTATGGTTGCTTACTTGAGATCTCAGGTCTGTCATGTCGAAAATGCTCTCTTGATTCTCCCAAATCTCCCCTCTGCTAACCTTCTCTGCCTCAGTAAATGGCACTTCATCCTATCGCAAACCTGGGAGCTATCCTCGTCATCTCGGTCTCTTCCGTATCCATTCTGAAACCAGGCCCGATGGTTCTGCTTCTGGTATATATACCTAGTTTGTTTGCTTCTTTCCATCCCTCACATGCAGGCTGTCATCTCTCATGACACCCCAAGTCTTCTAACTGGTCTTCTATTCATTCTCCTTCCTGTGCATTCACTATCGACCAGAGTGCCATTCTAAGATGCAAATCTAATTGTCAATCCCCTGCTAAAAGCCTTCCGGTAGATGCTCCATGTGCCTTGGATAAACTCTGGACTTCGTCTCCCTGGCCTTGAGGCCCTGCATGAGCTCTCATTCTCCTTCCTGTGCATTCACTATCGACCAGAGTGCCATTCTAAGATGCAAATCTAATTGTCAATCCCCTGCTAAAAGCCTTCCGGTAGATTCTCCATGTGCCTTGGATAAACTCTGGACTTCGTCTCCCTGGCCTTGAGGCCCTGCATGAGCTGGGCTCTGCCTGGCACTTTGGTGTCACCTCACTTCATCCTCCCAGAAGCCAGCTGCATCAGCCTACCAGTTGTTGAGCACACTGTTCCTACCTGTAGCTTGGTGCCCTGCAGGACACATGCATCTGCTTTCATGACTGTGGCCTCCTGAGTTGCATTTGTTGCTGAGATTTCCCCACCCATTCTTGATTCCACTTCAGGAGTCAGTCGGGGCTCTCTGACCTCACCTCAAGTTGAGTGCCAGCTTGCTTCTCTCCCTTGAATGTCTCACCTCCTGGTCCTCTTCAGCTTTCTCACTCTGCACCTGTAAGTGCTCACCTAGTTCTGCCAATCCCAACTCTTAATATTTCAGAAAGGCCCGATTCTTCCCAGCTCTGCAGTTCCTGCGTTTCAGACCACTATCAGTCTCACGTGACGTGTTCCAACAGCTCCCAATTCCTACTCTAACACTACCCCCAAGTGCATTCTGGGGAGCCTGGATGAGCTTTTCCATTCACAAATGTAATGGTATCTTGTACTCTTAACTTCAGACATTGTAGTTTTCAACTCTAGGAGTTGGACTTGAGTCTTTTTTAAAAAATTGTTTTAATATCTTCCATGTGTCTACTTAACTTTTTGAACAGATGTTTTCAAAATTTCTTTTAATGTCTTCATCTGCTAATTCTCTTTTTTAAAATTTTTTATTTTTGGCCATAAAACAAGTCTCAATATATTTAAAAAGACTAAGATCATGGAAAATATGTTCTCTGACCACAATAACACAAGGAAATTTAGAAAATTCACAACTGTGTAGAAATTTAATGATACTGTCCTAAATAAACAATGAGTAAAAAGAAATATCACAGGGAAATTAGTACTTTCAGATAAAAATCAAAGTGCAGCATATTAAAATTTACAGGATGCAGGGCCCATGCAGAACTTAGAGGAAAATTTAAATACTTATAAACACATACATTAAAATGGTACATGGTTTTTTTAAGATATTAATCTCTTTGTAAATGTCCTTCATATCCTAGATTTTTTTTTTTTCTTTCATGTGTTGTCTGAGTCCTCTCCTGTCTCAGTGAGTTTCCTTAAGATTATTGCTTGGAATTCCTTTTCAGTCATTTCAAGGGTTTCCTGCTGTGTAGGGTCTGGTACTTGAGAATTGTTATATTCTTTTGGTGTCATATTTTCCTGGGTTTTCATATTGCTAGTATCTTTACAT